CCTTGAACGCATGGTGATTCTCCTATATCTGCGCTCTGTGAACTGGGATTACAGGTGTGAGCCACCACACCTGGCTAGAGTATCTATTTATTAAATGACAAACTTGTTTGTGTTTATTGATATTGACAAATGATTCTGCATATCCTTATGGAGTTCAAATGACACTGTCAATAATGTGTGCAATGCGATGATTGCATCAAACTAGCTAACACAGTCATTACCTCAGACACCCCTCAGTGTTTATTCTAACGGGAACATCATACCCTTCGGCCAGTATGGCCTCATCTACACTCTTCAATCTCTGGTAACTCCCGTCTGCTCTCTGCATCCATGACTATACATATATATGTTTTATAGATTCCACATATAAGGGAGATTATATGGCCTTTGTCTTTCTCTATCTGGCTTACTTTACATAACACAATGTCCTTTGGGTTCATTTGTGTGGTTGAATATGATATAGCTTGTGTATGTGTGCATGTGTGTGATTATGTGTGTGCCTATGTGTGCATGTGTATTTGTGTGTATGTATGTGCTAATGTGCATGTACGTGTGTGTGACCTTTTCTTCCTTCATCTTGGGTGGACAGGTAGGTTACTTTCATGACTTGGTAGCTGTGAACAATGTCGCAGTGAGCCGGTAGTCAGATGTCTTCACTGCACTGTTCTATGTCTCTTGGCTGTAAACTCATAGTGGGAATGCTGGTTCTCCGTTAACCTCTATTTTTAATTTCGTGAGGAATCTCTAGATTGCCTATGATGGTCATATTAATTTGTGCTTCTGTCATCAGCATATCAGGGCTCCTCTCTCTCTATGAGGAACACATCATGAATATACCAGGATGGGGTTTGGGACATTCCCAATACAGAGACTTGCATTCAGGAAGCTACAGTCCCCTTTGCATATTGATCCCCCAGTTCTGAGGGGTACCACTTATGACACAGTGCCTTTCCTTCCAAGCAGTGCTCCTGAACTGAGGAGTTACCAGGAGGGTGGCTATGTGGGGCTGGATGAAGAGCTGCCTCCTTTGCATTTACTTTAGTGAAGTTGGGGAGTGGCCAGGAAGACAAGCCCTTTAGTTCCAGCTGAGTGTGTGGTGGACACTTGGAATTTACATTGGTTTCACCTGTAACCATCATCATACACTCAGCAGAGCTACGTGGACACAATGGAATTGCTCTTGGGAGGGCGGGGAACACAAATCCAGCCCACAGAAACTCTTGCTAAGTACTGGGCCTTTCGTAATACAGTATCTTGGTTTACCAAAACCTTTTATCTGCCGGACTTGTCAACAAGCATACCAAGCCACCTCCCAAAGCAGCCATAATCATGCAAGTGTCACTGCCAAGACTCCTGAAGCCAAG